TATTATGAGAATAAAAAGAGAAATAACAACATAATAAACTAAATATTTCACATTTTATTACATGCGTGTGTGCATATATTATACAATATTTTATTAATAAAAGAACTCGAAAAATAATTAATCTATGGAAGATATTTTTATAATAAAAGCATAAAAATAAAATTAAAATAATATAAATTAGAATTTAGAATATATGATTAATCGAGAGCGTATAGACAAATAAAAAGAAGACCCATCAGATTGTGCAAGTCTAACCCAAAAAGTAACGCTGTAAAGCTAGTCCAATTATATATATATTCTTATGTTAGTTCATATTAACGTACAAGCAAATGTCATATCCAAATATGTCACCTATATTGTCAATTTTGTCCCACTAAAAAGTTGGAATGAACGTACAACTTATAATTTGTATGTTTGCTATCCATAAATTCATGTATAAAATGATTGATAATATTTAACATATACAAAATAAGATGTTGATATGAGCTTTATATCCCTTTCCAATCATGATACCCAAAATTTATTTTATACCAAAAAGTATTCCATATCAAATTAGGCAAGTATTTGCAATACAAAAAGAAATAATAATAAAAAAAGTAATCATCACATAATTCATTTCCTTATCTTTAGTGCAATTGATTCTTGAGTTCTCATCGACTCTTCAATTTATTTCCTATTCTTGTTGGGATATTTATCTTTTGGGAAGATTTAACATTGTCTTTTTCAAATGACATTGTTAACTTGTACCTCGATTATCTTGTTTAAAAAAATATCTTCTTTTGCTTAATTTAATCAAGTTGTTTTTACCAGTAACAATGTTATTTGACACGGGGAGGAAACAACAATTGTATTACCTAAAACTGTTGAACTCTATAGAACATAAAACTTGACAGTCTTCCTCTACTCTTTCATCACAACAAGAGAAACCTTAACAATTTTTATAGCTCCACCTTTACTAGAGAATTTGTACGCTTTTGAATCTAGGGTACCTAACGAAATTATATTTCTGCTCAAATATGGGACATGTCTTACATTACCATATTTTTTAACAATCCCATTGAACATCTTATTTTTTTATTGTGCTAATACATGTGACTTTACAAGGGACATTATTTCCCAAATATATATCATATGAAGATACATCTTTATATGTCACACACCAGTCACAATTGGGGCTCATATGAAAAATGCTACTACATTCAAGTATACACTCACAATTGGTTATAAAGTTGTCGTTAGTCGCAACTATGAGTTCTCCGTCATTGTACTCCTCCACTACATTGGCCTCGTCAGATTTTCCAAAGTTCTACTATTCAACTTCTCTTTTAATATTATTATGTAACTTGTAACACTCTATTTTAATATGACATTTACTTTTACAAATGTGACAAGTTTTACCTCGATTAGAAGATTTCGATCTGTCGTTTCCTTTACTACCATAATAACTCTCGTCTTTTCTTCCACAATCTGAACTAGTCCATCCATACATCTTGACACCCTTTGTTTGGGGATTGGAATAAGATATAAGATGTTTCTTCTTGTTCAATGGTTGCAAGCCATTGTACACTTTTCAAGAGGGAGTGCTTCCCAACATACAAGATTGTGTCTTTAAAAGATCAACAGGAAGGAGATAGAGAACATAGGAGAATTAGCCCTGACTATTCTTGGTCTTAATTCACTTTTAAAGTCTTTATATTAGAGATAGTTTCCATGAATGCAGTCAGTTTCTCTTCAAGAGAATAACCTTCCACCAACTTGAGCGAATAAAGATGTTGTTTTAAGTGCAACTTGTTGGTCAACAATTTCTGCATGTATAAGTTCCCCCAATTTCGCCCATAAAGAAGCAGCCATTTCTTTCAATACATCATACAAGATTTTATTTAATAAATATAAATGAATTTGAGATAGGACCTTACAATCCTTTAGTTTTTTTTCGTTTCTCCAATATGAAGATATCTTCTTATCAAAATCTTCCAATACATCATCTAAGTCCAATTATGTAAGGACATTCTAAATCTTCACCTACCACAGCGAGAACATGGTGTTTCAATCCAACAGTGAAATATCATACTTCATTGTTTCCATAAATCTTGAACTTGAAGCTATAATATCAAATTCTTATAAAATCAAAATGGTTATCTACAAACAAATAATAATGGTCGAAAACTAAACAAAAAACAACAAGATTAATGCGAAAAACCCAAAAGAGAAAACCATGGGTAGAGGAGAAGAACTTCTCTAATATGAAAGAACAAAATATAAAAGAATTTTCTAGAAAGAAAAAATAAATATCTAACCATTACCCTTAGTATCTATTTATATGAATAAATACTTTATTACAAAGGAAACTTATAAATTATAAATATACTTAAAATAGATTTTCTACATAAAAGAAAAATAATGTTTCTACTTCTAATCAAACTAGGTTTCTTACTTTTCCTAATTAATTTCAATAGTTTATGCCACTTTGAATTCGATTTAAACTCTTTTAGCTCCTCTATGACAAAAAATATATATCTTACTTTCAACCGCTAAAAGTTTGCAAAGTGAAAGATACTCATGTATTTCTAAAACAATAAACATATAAGATTCCAACATTCCATAAATTTATATCTTACTTTCTCAACTACAAAAACTTTGAAGAAAGTAATTTGGAGTAAGATGGCATATATGAAAAAGCCTCTTCTGAAAGAGTAATATATTTTTAGTAATTTCAGCAATTATATCTACAATTCTTTTTATAAAATGAGAATTAAATATGCATATACATCATGCATTTACAAGTAGATTTTCAAGTTTTAACAAAATTCACCACAAAAATTGTAATACGATTCTCAATAAAAGCTGCAAAATTTTCTAATTTAAACATCTTGACAAAACAATCGTACTTACAAAGACTTGGCATGTAGGCCTTGAAAAGGCTTGGTTCTTGTTTTTTTCTTTTTGTTAAATAATTCATCAACAACTATGACATCAATCTTCAATAGTGTATATTTGTTCTCCTCCCATTCACTTTCAGTTGTGGACTTGACAATTTGTTAAAAAGCAAACTGATATACTTTTGTTCCTTTCCTTCTAGTTTAATTTGCAAACACATGTCGAGAACAATTCTTATGGTTTACTCATAGAAGAATATAATTTATAGCAATTTCAATACCATGTCGAACAACATATGAATAAAATTGAGATACATAAGTAAAAATCAACATCATATTGTCAATATATATATATGTGTGTACATTAAATATAAAATCAGTAATATATACATAAGAAAAATAACATCATGATATATGTCTATTAAATTTAAAAATCAAAAGTCTATACATAAGCAAAAATCAGTAATATATGCACAAGAAAAAAAATTAACAACTAATTAGCATATTAAATATAAAATTTAGCAGTATATATGTATATTAAATGTAAAAAATAGTAGTATATATGTATATTGAATATAAAAATTAATAGTATGTACATAAGTAAAAAATCAACAATATATAATAAAAAATAAATAGTATATATATGTATATATATTTTAAATTAACAATTTATCAGTACTAAAATTGGTGGGCTATGGATGAGTATAATAGGGTACCATGAAGAATTGGGTGGAGTTTGGAATTGTTTTTCCTTCAACTAAGCCCAAATGGTATTAAAAAGGGAATTTTAAATTTAATATTAAATGTTAAGACTCCATGTAAGAAACTAGACGTCCAACATTTGAAAGGTTGAAAATTAATTAAGAGTGGTGATGCAATCGAAAATGAGAAAGCTGAATCTCTCTCCTTATTTTCCCTCTCAAGCTTGTCTTATTCTCTATCTTTTTCTCTCTTCTCTCTACCGTTTAAGTTTTTCAAAGGAAAAAGCTTTCTTCCCCATCTGTAGTTTACAATTGTCAAGTTAATATCCTTAATCAGCATCTCTAGGGCTTCCATTTAAGCTCTCAACCTTAACGTTTGGTCATGATGGCCATGGTAGAGGTTCTAGAAGGGTTTTGGGTTTTAAGACTCTAGGATGATTCTAATCCATTTTTAGAGTTTGATAATCATGCTTATATTCCTTTTAAATTTTTAGATGAGTTTATAAATTATTCATTGTATTGTGATTAGTTAAAGATATTATAGAAGGCTCCAAAAACAAGAAAAATGAGAAGTTTCTGGTTGAGTGAACTTGAGGTTCTTTTCCAATAGCTCGGATCAAGCTAATGCACCTATAACTCTCTTGTAATGCTTTTACGTCATTATGTTTATTATGATGGCTTGTATGAGTGCATGAACATTTTGGGTGCATTTATGTTCATGGAAGGGATGAAGTGCTTTTGATGTTTTTCATCGGTAAATAAAGTATTATTGTTTTTAAGAGTTTCAAAACTTTCCCCAAAGTTTAAAAACTTTCTATGCAAGGTATCTTCAATTACAGGAAATAAAGACTTCTAACAACTCTAACTCATCCTCAACAGTGATAAACGACTAGGAACTTATTCATCACTTAAAACAATAACCTAGGGACACTTGAAGAAGGTTACTTGACAAGTGTCATTTTACTCGTCAAAAATAAAACCACTTCTCAAATAAAATAAATAGAATTAAGTATAGTATAGTGAAATAGTGTCGATTCAAAGAGACTTAGAAATTCCTAATGTAGTGTTGTGTTGATCCTATTCCAAGCGACTAAAACAAAACAGTAAAATAAAAATGGGGGAGTTTTACGATTGAGAGAAAAAAAGAAAGGTAAAAAATAAAGATTAAAATCAAAGTAAAAGAAATGGAAACGTAAATAAAGTTGAAAACAATAATGATGAAATCACCTCAAGATAGCTTTGTTTCAATTTCGTTTGATCTTCGAAATGGATTTTTTCTCCGGGATTCATGTCGGTTACAATCTACAAGGCCCAACCCATTGTAACTTACCTTTCTCTCTAGTAACCAATCTTCCCAAGTCACTCTTCGAAAGTCGATTCTTGAATGGGCTAACCACAACTATTGTCATTAGAACAAATAAAATTAAGTATTGAAAAGACTCAACTCGGATTATGTTGTCTCGTCGAGAATCAAATTTGATCTCGATTTTCCTTAGCGGACCACCGCTAAGTGTGTCCACAGGAAGTCAAATTTGCCACAGGTTAATCCTTCCTCCTAACTATAAATTAATACAACAACCAGACCAACGAGCTCGTTTTGACTTTAAAGTGTTTTAATTTTGTAGGTAAGGTCGATTGCCAAACTAATAAAACAAAAAATTGAAAATGTTTCCTGAAGGTATTTAATGCTTTTCAATTCTCACATATGGAATTGAGTCATCACTAGCTCTCTACTAATAAAGGAATTAGCTAAGCATAGTGGAAACCATACTTAGCATAGTTTATAAAAATGTTAAAAAAAGTGTAACTAAGTAAAGTGTAAATGAAAAAAATGAATTTTAATTAAAACAAAACAAAGTAAACTCGAGATAAAAGATTATGTTAAGCCTTACCCCATTGAGGGTATTTATAGGCTTCTAAATCCTAAAGATAACAAGGAATTCAAAATAAAAATAATCCTAGAAAATAAAACATAATTCAAATGTTTCAAATTCAAACTTAAAAACTAAATTCCTAAAATATCTCTCAATATCGTGCTAACTAGGATGCTTCCAGAATCTTCCTCCTAAAAACTGCCAAGTCAGACCTACGTCGTTCCCATGTCTCCAGCCGCAACCAAAAAATAAAAAACTATGCAGATTGCGCCATTTTTCTGCCAATTCCAGTAAACAGTTCATTGCACAGAAAATAAACAAAATACAATCCAAATAAGCAGTGATAAAGTCATAAAATAGGAGAATTAGCAAGTAAAACACGACAATTAAAAATGCTCATCAAATTCCCCCTCACTTGTCTCATGCTTGTCCTCAACATACTTTGATCAAACTACTTAAGACCTTAATATACTTCCCTTCGTTCATTTCATAACAAAACAAATTATGAAAGACAAGCTCAAAATAATCATTTGAATCAAAACACCAATCAAGTGAATGAAAACAAATAAGATTAAGTCAAATAACATTGTAACTTCTAATCATTCATCAATAAAAAATTCAACCTAACTTAATTCCTCAAAAGGATTCATGCAATCCACTAAATTGTGTTTTGGGTGCAAATACGCTCAAAATCGAAACTAAACAAGAATTTCCATAGGCTTGTAACATAATTAAATCTCCACTACTTAATAGAAATAAAATGCAAAGATCATTAGGTCTTTAAAAAGAGTGTAATGGGGTATAGATAATGATAGGGAAAAAGCTAGAAATGAGGTTTATAATCGAGACAAAGAAATATTTTAGATAATTTAACCAAGTCCACGAGAAAAACACGATAAATGAAACAATCAAATATATACAACAAAGACATCAAACAACCATTTTTATTCTATTTTTTTATTTTCTTTTTTGACTTATTTCGATTTTTATGCTTTTTCTGTTTATTTCGAATGCTACTATTGTTTTTATGTTTTTGCTTCTTTTCTTTTATGGAACAAAGCTACTCACATTCTTCAATTCTTTGTCTCTACAAGGGTGAAAAGAGAGTGAAAAAAAAGGCTTGGGTTTAAGATTAAGGTGAAAATAAAGAAGTGGAAAAAGGCTCAAAATGGTTCACTAATAGAGAAGAAAAGATTATGCTTTTTTTGGGTTTATAATGATGCGATTCCTAATGCCCAAATCATATAAAAGCATAAAATTTATTTTGTAGTCTCAAAATGTATTATGCCACAAGTTCTAGAGTTTCAAGATTTAGTTCGACACACTCAATAAAAAAAATTGCATAAAAATCAAGTAATATGTTAAAGGCTCAAAATCTCACCAAAATGTGTTCATCAATCAAGTTAGGAAAAATTCAATCAACCAAATCAAGGAATGTCACAATGAAGTCAAATTAAATTCCTACTCATGCAATTAAACTATCAAGAGTGTTCATATTCAGAATATTTGCATGAACTAAACAATCATAACATGCTAAAGATAATTGACGGAAACGAAACATTTCAACCAAGTATTCAACCAATTCAATCAAGCATACAATCAAACAATTTCACGACACAAGTAAAATGAAATTTAATGAAATATTTACCCCCTCTCTTAAATCGTATTGCCCCAATACGAAAATAAAATTGAAAGTGCAAGAGAAATGGTAAAGAATACTCTCCATGGTTATTGGCGATCACGGCCACACAACGGCTGCTTCTAGGGCGGAAGTAAGACAAAATCTTTGTGATGTTAACCTCAATGGAGTGGAGGCGATTATTGATATCATGCATTTTCTCTTGCAAGTTTTTAGGAGGTGGTTATGGAGACCGAGGAGGCGCATTATGGCAAGTGAAGACTCGTTCAGTACGTGGCATCATCACTCTCTGTGGAACAAAATAAGGTTGCGATGGCGGTTCTGGCAAGCAAACCGATCGAATTCAAGCATTATTCATCTAAGCCATCCACAGAGAACGCGTAAGTAAATTCCATAATATCAAAATTAGTAACACGAGAGGATGAATTTGTAATGTAGCGATCAAGGATTAAATGGTGATTGGATCAAATAACGATCTAGAATGCTCAGGCAAACCAAAAGCCTAAATTTACCTACCGAACATACACCAAAGGAATAAAAGTTCAGTCTTACTTAAAATATCGAAAGAATCATTCCAGACTTAATAGTTGTAAGCCAAGAAATGATGTATGTATCGTAAGGCCGAGTCGTGAAGGTGAATCACCTTGGTCGAACGTGATTCGAAGGGTTTGTCGTCGAAACCAGTAAGCAAAGAATATATCGAATACATGTAAAATTCTTTCGGCATCTCAGCTAAATCAGTTAGATAATCTAGACTCGTGACATCTAAATATAAAATCGACATTCCTGTTCAATTCTATTATTTGCAGATTTCGATAATTCATTCGGTAACTTACCCGTGACCAAGGAACTGAAGCATGCACCATCATCAAGCTTTCGTCTGTGAATTGTTATTGGACAGGTAGTTCAATTGTTGAGATCGACAATCAAGATGATTAACAACCAAGTTCTTGCTCCTTTTTTAAATTTCTAGATCAAATTCTCGGGGCAAGAGAATTGATAACTCTGTAAAAATATTATGTTTTGTGTCTTTTTACTTAAGTTAATTAGTATCTAAAAGCCATTGATTTAGTATTTTAGTTGTATTTAGGATATATTTTCATGTGGTGGATATGTTTTGCCAAGGTAAAGTTTATCTGAGTAATCTGATGCTGCTGAGGAGAAATGTTGTTTGTTAGTTGTGATGATGCATGAAATGAGTAAAGGAGAAATCATTTGTCGAGAAATATTATTTTTCTAGGGCCAGCGGAACATACGAAGACGACAGTGAGAAACAAATTTTCTTACTAAGGCAAGTTTTATCCTGCATGTCTGACACAACACAAAACGAAACTATTGACGTCACTTGGCCAGCTGTCCAAACTTTTCTGGTCACTTCACTTTATATTTTTTGTTACCATGACAATACTTTTCCATCTGTTCATATCATTTGATATTGTTTGCTTTTATTTTAGACAAGAATCTTAGTACTAATTAGTGACACTTAGTTCTACTTGTAGGAAACATTAAAAATTCCCACCAATCCTTGTGGAGACGATAACTCACTCACTACTATATTACTTGCATCGATTGTGTATACTTTCACAGATTTGCATGTCACAACACTTACATTTACACACGATCATGAATCCAATGTATCAATCTTGGTTTTGATTCTTTATTGTTCATCAAATATCTCAGCGCTGCATGATCATAGAAGAGATAAATTTAGTTCCTATGAAATAAGATCGAAATTTCTCTAATACAAAAACAACAACAAATAATTCTTTTTATGTAGTTGAGTAATTGCGCTAGCCAAATGTAGAGTTCTTGATGCGTAGGTAATGATGTGGGGTTCTTTTTGAATTATTTGGCCAATAATAGCTCCGACACTTAAATCTGAAGCATCGCACAAAATTTTGAAAGGCAAATCCCAGTTTGGTGGTTGAACAATCGACGCGGATACGAGTTTTTCTTTCAAGATGTTGAATGAATCTTTACAATCCTGATCAAACTCAAAGATAACATCTTTTTAAAGCAATCTACTTAATGGTTGTGCCACTTTGGAGAAGTCCTTGATAAACCTTTGGTAGAAACCTAAATAGCCAAGAAAAGATCAAATTTCCCTCACCTCAACAAACTTTTCCATCTATTCATATCATTTGATACTGCTTGTTTTTCTTTTTACACAAGAATCTTAATACTAATTAGTGACACTTATTTCTAGTTGTAGCAAACATCAAAAATTCCCACCAATCCTTGTGGAGATGATAAGTCACTCACTACTATATTACTTGCATCGATTGTGTATACTTGCACAGTTTACGTGCCACAACACATATATTTACACGTGATCAAGTTTTTGGCGTCATTGCCGGGGATTGGAAACTGGACTAATTTTGATAAATTTTACCATATAACTTTTATTTTCTTGTCATTTCTTTTAGTTAGTTTTACGTGTTTGTTTTTCTTATTTTCTTTTTTAGGTTTGTGTCATTACATGACCAAGAGATCTACTGATGGACCATTAGTACCATTCGAACCTGAGATCAAACGATTGTTCAGACAAAGGCAATGTGCTTAGCATGCTAGAAGCAATATGAATCAATTGCAGTTTCAGGCTAATAACCCTATGTAAGATTAAGCAGATCCTAATGTCGTAGCGAATAATGTTCCCCAAAATACTTCAAAACCATGAGTGATACGAGATCACATAAATCCTATTCTTGATGATCTCAACCCTGGAATAGTGACACCAAAAATACAGGCAACTCACTTTGAAGTCAAATCGATTATGTTCAACATGCCCAATTCTATCGGTTAGTTTAAAGGCTTGCCTAATTAAGATGCTAGATAACATGTATGTGTTTTCCTTGAAGTGTGTGACTCGTTTAGGAAACAAGGAGTGCACGAGGACGTACTGAAGAAAAAATTATTCCCTTACTCTTTGCACGATTGAGAGATAGCTTAGCTTAGTGCAGTCCCTTCCGGTTCAATGGAATCTTGGGCTAACTTATGCAAAAGTTTTCTACTTCGATATAACTGCCCAATATGAACACCCAGCTCACAATGACATTGCAAGTTTTTTCCAAGGTGATGATGAATCTATGTACGAATGATGGGACAGATATAAAAGTTTGCTTCGTAAGTGCACTGACCACGAATTCCACCACTGGACTCAAGTCGTCATGTTTTATAATAGAGTCAATACACCAACTCGTATGATATTGGATGCCTCGATAAATGACACTCTGCTTGACAAATCACCCAAGGAAGCATTTGATATCCTCGATTTGATAGCCAACAACGACTATCAATTCCCATCTGTAAGGCTTGGAACGGGCAGGAAAATGTCTGGGGCATATGAAATTGACGGTAAGGATTCAGTTTCTGCCCAACTTTTTGATATAACTAATATGTTCAAAAATTTGCAGCGTTCCAACGCGGTTAAAGAAGTCAAGTCATCTAGCTCAACATGCATTCTTTTCCATGCCAACCATCATGAGAGTGAATGCCTAGAAAACCATGAGTCCATCAATTTCGTGGGTAATTTAATAGAAGCAACAACAACCCTACTCTAATACATACAATCATGGATGGAGATAACATCCAAATTTTTCTTGGGGTAATTAAGGGGACAACAACAACCATGTAGGTAATTTTAGTAGGCCATAGCAAAATGCCTCTAAACATTCAAGTTTTCAGCATCAACATATGCCTTGGCAAAATAATAATAAGGGTTCTGCATCTTCCTCAAATTCTAACTCCCTTGAAGCTTCACTTCAATAACTTATGGCCTCGAGAAAAGATTTTATGGCTTCAACAAAGACCATGATACATGAACACTTACCGACAATAAAGAATCAAGGTGCTTTGTTACAAAGCCATAGATCATCATTGAGAGAGCTGAAGAATCAAGTGAGCCAAATTGCCACGACAATACATTCTCGCCCACCAGGAATTTTATTGCCAACGCAAAAGTTTCATCCCCACTTGCAATAGATGAAATTAGGCCCTACCACCTTTCCCTTAGTAGTTAAAGAAGCATAATGATGAGATCCAGTTCAGAAAGTTTGTAGATGTCCTCAACCAGTTGTATATCAGGATTCCACAGCTCGAATCCATTGATCAGATGTCTTCCTAATCCAAATTCTTGAAGTAAAATGTCACGAAAAAGAGAAAAGTGGAAAGAATAAAAATTGTTTCCACGAAGACAAAATATTGTTCGGTAATGAGTAAACTTCCAATGAAGCAAAAAGATCCTGGAAGCTTTATTATACCATGTTCCATTAGTGACAATTATGTTGGGAGAACCCTTTGTGACTTGGGGTCAAGTGTAAATTTGATGCCTAAGTCCATATTTTTAAAACTTTGAATGGGTAATGCTCGACCAACTACCCTGATTTTATAACTGGATGATCAATCACAAGTTCATTCTGGGAAAAAAATTGAAGATGTTATCGTTAAAGTGGAAAAGTTTGTCTTTCATGTAGATTTCCTTATTTTAGACTGTTAGACCGATGAAAATACACCTATTATTCTTGGGTGTCCCTTCTTATCTATAACCTCATTCTAATAGATTGTGAGAAGAGAGAGTTCATGATGAGGGTTGCTAATCAAAGCGTCACTATCAATATCTTCGAAACTCTTAAATATGTTGATGATTATGAAGAATGTCATTGCTTTAGAAATATGGAGTCAAATGAAGAAGACGGGCATATATCTTTGGCCACAACAAATTTTTACATCTAAAAGAGTATGATACTCTGTGCCAAGATAATATTTCTCAGAATGAGACATTTAAAAAAAATTCCACAGTGATATTTTAGAGTTAGAGGGATAATATAGTTTTGGCTCAGTCAAATTTTTTTAAAATGATGCATACAAAAACATTTGCCTAGGCAAAATTTTTCGATTGAGAAAAATGAAAGATTTGCTGAAGATAAAGCAAATGTGGAGTTCGAGGATTATTTATTGGAGGAGGAATAGTCTAACTTACTTCAAGCTAGACCATGTATGAGATTCAAACCCCTTGACTTTAATGAATTTATTCCTCTAAAACATTCGTTACAACATGTACCTACGTTAGAACTTAAACCTTTTCCATCATATTTGAAATATGCTTATCTAGGTAGTGATGATACTTTACCAGATATAATTTCTGCTACTCTAACAGCCGAGCAAGTGGGTAGTTTGTTGAATGTTTTGTTACAGCACAAAAAAACTCTCAGGTGAACTATGGTAGACTTGAAGGGAATCAACCCTACCATATGCATTCACAATATTCAGCTAGATGATTGTCATAGCAATTCTGTGGAACCCCAAAGGATACTAAATCCAATAATGAAAAAAGTGGTGATGAAGGAAATCGTCAAATGGCTAGATGCTGGGGTGATCTATCCCATATCTGATAGCTCTTGTGTAAGTCCGTTCAATGCATGTCGTCAAAGGGTGGTGTGATTGGGGTAAAGAATGAGAATGATGAGGTTTTGACTACACGAACCGTCATAGGCTGGAGGATTTTTATGGATTATAGAAAGCTCAACAAGGCGACAAAAAAATACCACTTCCTCTTCCTTTCACCGATCAAATGATTGATCAGTTAGTAGGCAAGGCATTTTACTATTTTCTTGACATAAATTTTAGGTATAATCAAATCACCATAGCACTTGACGATCAGGAGAAGACCACCTTCACATGCCCATATAACACATATGCCTTTACGAGGATATCGTTTGGACTACGTAGTGCCCCGATAACTTTTCAGATGTACATGGTAGTCATTTTCTCAGACATGGTGGGGGACTTCTTGGAGATATTTATGGATGATTTTTTCATCTTGGACGATAACTTTGACCAATGCCTTGGTAATTTATCTAAAATGGTAAAGGGATGTGAGGAGTCCAACTTTGTGCAAAACTGGGAAAAATGTAACTTTATGGTTGCAGAAGGAATTTTGTTGGGACACAAAATTTCTCGCCAAGGCATCGAGTTTGATAAAGCCAAGGTTGAAGTAATTGAGAATCTACCTCCACCCATCACTATGGAGGGCATAAGAAATTTCCTAGGGCATGCAGGATTCTACATGCATTTTATCAAGGATTTTTTTGAAGATTTCAAAGCCTTTATGTCTTCTACACCAGCAAAATCAGTCGTTCGTGTTCAATGAGGAATGTTACGGCGCATTCATGGACCTGAAGAAAAAACTTGCCTCGACACCAATTGTTGTTCCACCTGACTAGGATGCCCCATTCGAGTTGATGTACAATGCAAGTGACTATGCAGTATGGGTAGTGCTAGGGTATAAGAAAAGGTAAAATCTTCCATGTTATCTATTATGCTAGTCGTACCCTAAATGATGCATAACTTAATTATACTACCACTAAAAAAAGAATTGCTTGTCGTAGTATTCATTTTTGATAAGTTTAGGGCATACCTTATAGGCACTAAGGTCATTGTACACACTGATCACTCAACCATTAAATACCTAGTGAATAAAAAAGATACCAAGCCTAGGCTTATTATATGGATACTCTTGCTACAAGAATTTGATTTAGAAGTGAAAGATATGAAGGGTACCAAGAATCAAGTAGCAGATCACTTGTGCAGGCTAGAGAACAAAAATATTTTTCCATGACATGAAGGACATTCAAGAGGATTTTCCTGATGAGAAAATTTTATTTGTTGCGGCAGTGTCATGGTACGCTGACATAGTTAACTTTCTTGTTAGTGGTATTATGCCTCTATATTATCTATCCAAGGCCGAAAAAAGTTCAGACATAATGTACACCAATAGTTTTAGGATGAACCATTCTTATTCAAACAATGTGGCGATAAAATAATCCGGAGATGCATCCCCGAAGAAAAACAAAATTAGATTTTTTCTTTGCCATACATCCCCGTGTGGAGGGCACTTTGGTGGGATGAGGACTACTGTAAAGGTCCTCGAATCTGGTTTCTACTGGCCAACCTTATTCAAGGATTTGCACGATTTTATAAGTCATGTGACCATTAACAACACACTAGGAATATATCAAAGAGAAATGAGATGCCATGGTAAAATATTTTAGAGGTTGAACTCTTCGATGTATGGGGAATCAATTTTATGGGACCTTTCCCATCATCATTTGGTGATCTGTACAAATTCTTGGCTATAGACTATATGTCCAAATGGGTTGAAGTCATGGAAACACCGTGCAATGACTCCAAGACTATACTGAAATTCTTGCACAAAAATATATTCACTCATTTTGGATCACCATGAGCAATTATCAGCGATGAAAGCACTCACTTTAACAATAAATTAATTACTAAAGCGTTGCAAAGATACGGGGTGCGCCATAAAATTGCCATGGCATACTATCCATAGACAAATGGGCAAGCTGAGGTCTCCAACCAAGAGATCAAGTATATCATTGAGAAGGTGGTCAACCCAAAACAAAAAGATTGGTTGCCAAAGCTCAGTGAGGCATTGTGGGCGAATTGCACGGTATTCAAAATGCCACTCGGGATGTCTCCATTTAAGTTAGTATATGAAAAGGAATGTCACTTGCTCGTGGAAATAGAATACAAGGCATTATGGGCCATCAAGAAACTTCATATGGATGTGCATCTTGCTGGAGAAAGGCGATTGTTGAAGCTAAACGAGACGGGTGAATTTAGAGCTCATGTGCATAAGAATGCTCATCCTTACAAAGAAAAGACAAAGAAGTGGCATGACAGAAAAATTTTACCTCAGTAATTTTTTTCAGGCCAACAAGTACTACTGTATAATTCAAGGCTCAAGTTATTCCCAAGCAAGCAGAATTCCAGATGGTCAGGACCTTTCATAGTGCATCAAGTGCATAGCCACGACGCTATTAAAATCAGAAACTTGGATGATGGGAAAACTTTTAAGGTGAATGGTCAAAGACTGAAGGTGTATAATGGAGCACCAATCCTGCGTGACAAATCGGCGTCGCTATTCCATGACGCCCAAGAGTTTGCTCCTCTTCCCTGAACAAATTTTATTACCTAAGCAACATAATTTGCATTCTGTACATAAATAATTTTCTTTATCTTACTCTACATGAGTGCTTTATTCTTATTTTATTTTCTAATATTGTCTCTTTTAGTGATCTTTGTACACGTGGCAGCAAAGGGCTACGACTAATAATGGAGGGAAGCAAAACCCTAATAAATTATCCAGGTAAAACTTTTGAGATGAAAAAATCCTTTCCCTTAATTATTTTATTCCTTTTTATCCCATAAAAAATAGTTGGCATTAATTACTCTATCTTGTTTTTTCAATTTTCACTTATTTTCCCCCAGATAACCGCCCACTAACCAATTTTTTCCTCCAAAACCGCCTACTTTACTCTTTCACTATTTCTCTTTCAGTCACTTTCTTCTACATCTTTTCTTTTGCCTTTGACTTTTCATATTTCCCAAAAACCTCCATAGTTTCCGTCTAAAATCCTTCCTCTCTCCATTAAACTTGTCATCACGATAACATGTATTGATCTAAATCAAACCCTGTCGCTTCCACCTCATCCGTAACAGCAACAAACTTCCAGTGCTTCCAAAGTGTTGAGGCCGAGAAAATGTTTAAGACATTGCAGCAACACCAAGTCTACCTAAAAGACATCTTTGTATTTCCTAAGGCCAACGATGAACCTTTCAGGCAATAGGTGATAGACATCATCCGGTAACACAACTGGGAGAAGTTTTCCCAGAACCTGAAGGTGGTGGCTCCAGTATTGGTCTGGGAGTTCTATGTGCACCTGGGAAACCCTTTCCAACACTCTATTTGTAATCGAGGAAAGTTCATTTGGTTCACTCCCTCTGTCATCAACTGCTATTTTAAACTCAGCAAGGTTGAAAACCACCATAACAAATTCTTTTCCAAGGCCAACTCTGAAACTTATGATGGTGTGTTGGGATACTTATACTTTGGCTAGGAAAAATTCAAATGGAACGCCACTAACCAGAAGCATGTCAATCGCCGAACCCTTAAGTTGGTCACGAAGTTATAGAATCACTTCTTGAAAGGCAAGCTGATACCCACGTCTCACAACACATTTGTGTTGCTACGGTAATTAATACTGCTCCATTCCATCATCCACGGGCGATCGATTGATGTGGGTGAAATTATCTTCGAACATACCCATGAGAGCAAAAAATGGGCAAAAGGTAACTTGCTTTTTCCAAATCTAATTTCGACTCTCTATAGGAAGAATAAGGTCCCCGATGAGCCATTGGAAGAGTCATAAAATCCAATGAAGGCATCAGTTAGAAGATGGTGTTGAGCTAATAAGTTTCAATGATAATGCTAAGGTGAGAGATTATAACGTAGTGCTAAATCTGTTGTCGATTCCATAATGGCCGCTGTAGTCACCACCACTCGATAGACGAGAGAGCGGTTAAAATGCTTGGAAGGTCACATATATACATTCTTTAATATGTCAAGGGGAGAGATGAACAGTTTAACGCCTTCTTCAAGGAACTGGTACCAGTTACTAATGACGACCTACCACATTTTCCTGTGGAAATATTGTGCAAGTCAGTACCACATGCGGTAGCATATTTTTCACCTCAGCACAAAACGCTCAGCCCGATTCCCCAATTGATCTCACCCCTCTCACTATACGTGTCTCTCCAAACCATGAAACAGGCCAAGGCTAGACAGATGAGTACCTCAACTCGATATTTTCCTCCTCAAATCACATTCAGGAAATTTAGTCAGAATTGTTCAAAGACAAAGACTTTGCCCTGCCACAATTTTTGTTGAACCAATTTGTGAATTGTCAACCACTGAACAGCCAACATATTTGAACAATGAACTAGTTTATGAAACCAAAGCGAGCTAGCCCTAATACGCACCTACTGAGACCCCACAACCAAAAAGATGCCACCACCAGATAGTCCTCCCAGGACCTAGCATCACATCAAGCGCTCAACCGGTCATATTGCTTTTCCATCTCCATCATCGTTCCCATAAGAAGAAACAGGATATGGCAGCCCTTCTCCTCTCAAAAGAGGCTGAACCTGAGCATCTAATAGAACAACCCCACCCCAATAAGGCACCACTTTCCGTTTGCATTTGCATAACATTTTAGAGTAATTACTTTACCTTTTTTATGGTTTGAGGACAATGCATCTGATCGCTTGTAAATGTATATGCTAAGGCAAGCATTTCTGTGCAAGTATACACAATCGAATCAAGTAATTGGGTAAGTAAGTATCGTATCCATAGGGATTGATCTAGAAATTTATCTTCACCACAACTAGAACTAGTGGTCACGAGCTAATTCCTATTGCCTTGTCAAACTAAAAAGTTAATAGTAATAAAACAAGGAAATATTATAATGTATGATTGCAGACAATTTTGGTCGATGCAAAATAAATAAGTAGACTACTGAAAAAAAACAAAACAAAAAGACAAATGTGTATTTAAATATAATTCAAACAACCTCACATTTTCAGACTTATCACAGAGCACTTACGCTAATCTTTTGTATTGACAACAATTACTCTAAGTCTAGAATGAATTATTATAACTTACTTAAGATGGCCGACAGGATTACTAGGTATTTTTAGATGGTTTCTATGGCAATACTACTCAGTGTTAACTACAACCCTTGGTTTCTCAGACCTGTTGTTGTAGCAATACCTCTCAGCGTGAACTATAGGTGTTGTCTATCCTACTTTAGTGCCTATCCCTTTTAGTCGATTGAAATCGCTCCTTATCTCTAAGGTAGATAAGTTAGAACTTCACCATCTCGGATTCATTTTATTGTTCACGTAGATCTATCTTAATCCTCTCGAATATAAGAATTAATATCTAGACAAAAGGAGATCTCTCGATGCTCTTACATTGCGAAGACATGTTTTACCAAAACCCCAGGCGATCTCTCGATACTATTACAGTGTCAAGGTAAAATATTCAAACAATGAACAAAACAGTCATGAATAAAAACATAATTCATCATTCGTAAGCATAAAAAAGTCAGTCCAAGATTCAACGTTTAATACAACCTCAATATATAAAGAAATTTAGAACAAAGGAATAACGACTCCCAAAACCAGGGGTTCTGTTATGAAAATTCTGGTTAGCACCGTGCCTGCCTTGGTGATCAGCCTCTCTCGAGACCTGATCATCGCTCTGCTATAATCTGGCTATGGAGGACATCAAGGAAGGTTGGCTGGTAAACAGTGGGAAAGTACTACAATTGCTCGCTCACGCCTTAAGTAAAGTTCTTCTCTCTTCTTCCTTGCCTCCTCTTTTTGGCCGCTACGGCTGGTTATTTATAGGGAAAAATCTCCTAGGGCTTCACATGATTGGAGATTCCTTAAATAACCGTTTTTATCTTTTCCAGACTAAAATAAGAAAGACGGCTGGCGACTGTCAGAATATTTAAGGCTTGCTTGCACGTGATGTAGGTCATCTAGCCGAAGTGTGACATAGACAGTTTCGTCATACCAGCTTCAGACTCTTCATATAAACCTTACCTCGGTGAGATAAATCTACTCCTCACATTCTTCTTTCTTCCACTGGCCCTTGCAAATTATGTTGTCACAACTGAAATGTTCTTCTTCTGTAAAGTTCATGCACATACATAATCCACACAACCCTTTCTCATCAGCAGCATTAGTTAAACCAAATAAATCTTGTCGAAGCAAAACTTATCCACCACAAGCAAATATAACCTAAATGCAACTAAAATGTTATGCATACTTTGTTTAGACAAGCAATAACTTAAGTGAAAAGACTAGAAATTGAGTCTTTTTACGGAGTTATCACACCCCAAACTTAAGCTATTGCTTATCCTCAAGTAATGTACAATAGCTAGAAGAAAATTAAAATGGTCATGGCAAAGCAGTGTTAAGAAAATCATATGGTTTGAGATTTTAACCCTCAGCAAAAATAGTTAGCCTCAACATGTTCGACCGTCATATCAGTCAAGTCCCTTCCCTAGTCAGAATACCTTGCTATTGTGTGCGCGTGATTGTAATCAGTCTATGCATAAAGGTAAATAGAAAACTTAAAGTAAGCACTTCTGGTTTGTCAAGGCATCAAATTATTTGTCAGGCTTAGTTTATTCTCCTAGTTATTTATCAACTTTTTATTCCCTTTTTTTTCCAGGGAGTCAGCTCATCACACTTACCGTCCCACACTCTAGGTGAAAGGGAGCATACCTTCCACCCCTAAGCTAGTTAGGCAGAGTCATCCTGTAACTACTTTCATTCACTCATATGCCTCGGCAACTTTTAATTTCTTATGGAGTTTTTCTGTTTATGCCTTTGCATAGAGGAGTGCCCTTTTTATTTTTCAAGTTTTAAACACTAGGGAGTTCCACCTTAACCTTGAAATATTTTTGAAGTCTCAGCAAGAAGAAAGTTCTTTCCTAAAAATTTTACAGATTACCTTAAGCAGGGACTGCCTACAATTGTGTTTGTAAATTTCAAAGAATTAGGCCTAGGGTTGGTTCTCTTCCTTAGACAGTCTTACAATAATTATGGCCTAAACAATCAAATTATGCACTCATCATCAAGCATCCATAATTCATTCCAAAGAATAGTCTTAACTTGCTTATGTCATGACAACTAAAATTTCCAACCAATTATCATCAATTACTTTTTATCAAAGTATCGTAAAATATGGCATAATACCTCCCCAAACTTGAGGGATGTATTGTCCTCAATGCATGAGAACTAAAACTACATGAATCTATACGCAAATGTGAAAAGTAAAAAAATTAAAATGCAAACTTATTGTGGTGGGTAGCTTGACTAGACGCCCTCGTTCGACGTCGTTTGGGAGGAGAGTCTACTGCTACTATCATCGAAGGTGATGGATGAAGGATATGGCCTGTCGTTCTCTTGATGCGCTTCTTACTGGTCGAGGCTCATGCTGGAGTTGGTTGCTCGGTAATATGAGTCGGTTGTGCAGGAACTGGTGCTAGATTTTTAACTGCTTATGGGAGTGGGGGTGCTTGATTGACTGGGGATTGTATGGGA